TACTTACAGTAAATATGCCCCTGGGTGCATTTTTTTTGGTCCTAGGACTGTTTTTTTAAGAAGAACATACCCAAAGTTGAGTTTAAAAAAGTGAATTTTGCATAATAGGTCCCCTTTAAAAAAAAATCACTGATGATGAAGAAATTAGGAAACTAACATTAAGTCCTTTTTTCTACAGAAGTGATTAAAAAAACTTACGTGGAGACTTGGTGCATGACCTTGGTGGAGGTGTCCTTCAACGTGTCTTTTAGGTTGTCCTTAAAGTTGCTGAAGAACTTCCCAGCTCCTCCCTTCACCATGTCGAACAGCCCTCCTCCATAGTTGCCATCCATGTCTGGAAAAGAAAAGAAGCTTGAATAAAACTCCAGTGAAGCCTAAAACAGACGCCCAAACTGTCGAGATGGAGTCTTTCCCTAAGATGGTGCATTTTATAACACACATTCATTTTTATTATGTATAGCAGCTATTCCATAATGTAGATTTGAAAAGTCACTGCACAACACGTTTGTAGGTGTAATGTTGGACATAGGCACAGGAAGCAGGACACAGTAAAATGCACACCATCTGGACTTGTGTAGCTCTGAGTGTGTGGTTGTGTCTTTGTGAATAAACTTTAAATAGTTAGCTTGCAAAAGACCCGAGTGTCGTATCTGAGTCAGCCACCCTCAGGTGGTGTGAGAATCTCTCTATCCTCTTCCACACTTTGTCTCTGTTCGTGTATCTCAGAGCTACCAGAGCTGGTCTGTTGTTGTCGGTGCAGACAAATCTACTGACATGATGTAAAGCAAAAATAAAAATAAAAAATAAAAAAACAGAAACCGAGTGTGCCTGGAAACGAAAAGTGATTTCAACCCGGATGTGTCAATCATGCCTTTGATACCTGCACAGGTACTGTAAGAGAGGCAGCAGTGAGGCTGAGGGAACAAACAGGCTTGAAAGTCATCTTACAACAGTTAGAGAAATAAATAAATTAATTAATTAATTWAAAAAAGAGGAACCGAGCTTCTCATTACCTCCTCATCCACCTCATACAGAGACCAAACGCAGAGAGGAGGAGAGAAATGGAGGAAGCATGAAAAGGGATGAGCAAGCTGTCGAAATACGTTGTCCTCTTTCTAAAACCTAAACATTTCTCCTGTAACGCCCCTCCTAATGTAAACGACACAACTACACGCACATTACACAATAAACACACTGCTCTGAACCTAATCTCCTGTAGCGCTGTTTTACTGCCTTGAATTTAAATGCAAACCAAATTCTAATCAATCTAATTACAACCGACTGCTGATGAGACGAAGAGGCTGCGATCAATCATATGCATTAAGCAGAGATATATTTCACTCATTTCACTGACAAGTAACCTATTACAAGCTGCCAAACAGATGACACGTCTCTAATACATGTCAAATCCTCTTAATAATGACAGTAATGATAAACTGGAGCCCCACAAAGTCACTTTGAAAAGCAAACTGTAAGTTCAAAGTGTGATATTATTGAGTTACGACCGACCTGAAAACAATAAACTRTAATTTAATCAGTTTTACAGATGCTGAGCTCAGGTTTGGTGTGGTAGTAGCTGAGAGCTGTTCACAACAAATACTCAAAGCATAACATTTTGGGATATTGCATGAGACTGTGGATAACGTTACGGTCTGACCAGAACGACTGCAAATCTCTCTGTCCCTTCGCTGCTCAGATTCTACTGACTCTTTTAAGAAACAACTTAAGACATTTAATGTGCTTTTTATTGTGTTTTAATTGTTTTTATACCTGTGATCTGTTTTATTGTTTTTAGTTGTTTTTGCTTTCTGTGAAGCACTTTGTGATGTTTGTGTCTGTGAAAGGTGCTATAGAAATAAAGTTTAATTACTTACTTACTTACTTAAATTCCTCATTTCTCAATATAAGACAAGCTTATGAGAGCTTTAATGTGCATATTTTAGACAGATGATTGATAGTTTAAGAAAGGAGCCAAACAAGTAAGATAAACTTTAAACAAGAGGAGGTGGCTCAGATTCTCCCCTCTCTAGAACTTACAGTGCACTTTGATCCCCCCATAGTTTCACATCGCTTCACACCTTGATGCATGTGACCAAAACGTCTCACACGCTGATCAGGTTAACAAAGGCTGTGTGCAAATTCAGAAAGCTGAATTTGAAGGCCGTTTACGTCACAGCGATGCGCCGACAGCTGTCCAAATTCAGTCTCCTCCAATTGCATCCTCCTTTTCCCCCTGATTTGAGGGGTGAGTCCAGTGCCCATCCTATCCCAATATTGTTAGCCAACCAGGAGATTTTTTTTTGGCTTGTAATAGCAAACAATGCAAGAGACAGGAGTACAGATTTAAATAAAAATTTGGTGGAGCAAACTCTAAAAATTTCAAGTGGTTGTGACATTTTGTCATTTGTGTAGACATGTTTTTTTAATAGCATTTTTGTCAGAAATCATTGTAAACAAGCTTGTACGGAAGGGCCCTTCGTTCTAGTTAATTTTCTCACTCTGCTGTTGTCTTTAGTCTCTCTTCTCTACATGTTTGTTGTAATTATTTTTATCATGTTTTTTCTTTGTCTTCCAGAAGAAGGTGCACCTGGACCAGTCCTGGACCAGTTCTTCTGTATTTACCTGTGTCTCTTTCCTGTCCC